TGCTTTGCAGGCAGTCTGGCAGTGAACCGACCCAGACGTGTCGCCAAAGGAAGGGTTTTTGCTGGTGTTTCTGGGATAGAAGGTCGAAAATCTGTGGCAAATACCATCCGACTGCTCGTGGATGCAGACACGCACAGCGTTGATGAAATCAGGAGAGGCATGCAACATGTTGCTTCAAGCTGCAAGGCTATGGAGACTTTGATCTTTGCAGCGCCCGAGACGATCAAGAAGAAGACATGGCAAGAACTCTTGACAGATGAGCGAGTGGTTTTCCATCCCGTTACACGTGCAGGTGCCGGAAAGCCAGGTGATTCAGCCATCATTGACCATTTGGAAGGCTTCATTGCAGGCACGGCATCACGAATTGCGCTTTTGACTTCGGATAGAGACTTCGTACCTCTCGTGCGCCGCGCCGGTGCCAGTGGAAAGCAAGTGCTTGTGGTTGTGCCCGCCGCACGAATCCATGTTGGGGACCTGTACCGGAAAGCGCATGCAGACGTGCACGTCGTCAAAGCCGACAGGCCAAACGTCACACGAGTCAAAGCTGTCCTACTTCCAGGAGGGAAGGGCAGTGTAAATTTCTGCGCCCCGGTAGCGCGACTGCATTGCCCAGAAGAGCATCAGGTTGTCAAAAACAAGCTGGTCGAACTGGAATACTGCACGGAAGACCAGCACAGTGGCTTTATGTTGAATCCTATGGCCAAATTTTGGTACGAGAATGGTCGTGGGTCTTTGGTGCTGTTTCCGACGGGTCTTGCTTTGAAGCAGGTACATCAGGAATTGGTGAACAATGCAACGAGGGCCTGGGTACCGTGTGAACGCAAGCTGTCTGTGATTTTGCCCGTGGGGAAACGAGGCAAATCAAGTGCTGCCCAGATACGGAAATTTGGCTCCAACTTTGCATGCTGCATATTTCGCGGTGGAGGGCCCTGCATTTTCGAAGACTCCTCGACACTGGCAGCGACGGTCTTGAGGAAGCTGGGCTTCTTGGATGAGCAGTTCAACAAGGACATGCGAGAAGCATTGTTGGTTTTTGCAAATGGAACCGAAAACAAGTACAATTTGCGTGACCTGGGCACTCTACCGTGCGAGAGCGACACCGTCGAAGACGTGCAAGCCAAGTTTCGGCTAGCGTTCCTTGCAAGTAATTCGTCGGCTATGTGGCAGTTGCCCCCCGCAGA